GGGCAAGCTGGATGCCCAAACTTCCACTGGCATTTGGTTGGGCAAGACCCTCAGTGCAGATGAGCACGTTGTGGGAACTCCGCAGGGCATCCGAAAGTGCCGCTCGGTCTGGAGGAGACCGGAGCCCAGGAGATGGGAAAAGCACCGCTTAGAGGCGGTGACGGGCACACCCTGGCAGCCCAAGGCGTTGGTGGTACCGGGTGACAACAAGCCGCTCACCCTGCCAGACGGACGCAAGGGGAGATCTGTATACATCACCCTGGAGCGCCAGATCAAACATGGCCCAACGCCAGGCTGTCCGGGATGCAACTGCTCTGCAGGAGAAGTGAAGCCACACAGCCCAGAGTGCAGGAAGAGGTTCAGTGAACTCTACCCTCGAGAGGCCGCAGGCTACAGCACAGAGCCGGGCGAAGAGGGGGCACGGGCTGTGGAGGGGGATGCAATGGACATCTCCGGGGCTGGTGCTTCCGGTGCGGGAGGCCCCGCCCAGGAAGGTGAGCCACAGGGTTCGGGAGGAACCGACTCTGTGCAAAGCCGCAAGGACCTCAAGAAACAGTTGGCCGACAAGGCCAGGGAGCGGAGAGAGGCCGCGCAGCAAGCGCAGGAAGAACCTAAAAGGTTCAGGCTTACACAGAAGGGCTCCAAGAGAACTGCAGAGGTTTTTGTGGAAGAAGCGGTTGCTGAAGCAGCCGCGGAAGAGGTGATAGGAGGCCTCCCCACTCTTCACGAGGAGACGCTGCTTGCAGCTTATCCTGAAGATGGACTGCTGGAGAGTCAGGGTGCGTTTGACGAACGCACAGGGAAGGCGCTTCCTGTTGAAAAGGTCAAGAAAGCGCGTGGCCGTGAGCTTGACAAGATGCTAGAGCACAACGTCAAGGAGGACATCACCTGGGAAGAGGCGAAAAGCCGAGGACTCAAAATAGTCAAGAGCAGATGGGTAGATGGCTGGAAGCCACTCCCAGATGACCCCCAGGGTGTCCGGAGTCGGTGTGTGGCTCAGGAAGTCAACGTGAGCCAAAGGGATGACGTGGCATCTGGGACGCCTCCGTTGAAGGCCCGCCGGATGGTCCTGTCCCACGCGGCTACAAAGGCTCCAGGCGCGCGTGTTAACAAGAAGCTTATCGCCAGATACGACGTATCAGTGGCATTCTTCCATGCAGAGTCAACAGGGAAGATTGCTGTGGTTCCACCAAAGGACTTAGACCAGAGTCGCTTGTGGTTCCTGAACAAGGCGATGAATGGAACGAGGGAAGCGTCCAAGCAATGGGCAGCAAAGATCCTCAAGAACAAGAAGAAATGGGGATTCTTGGAGATAGAGTCCGTGCCAGGACTTTTCTATCATCCTGTCCATGACATCATGGTGTGCTGCCATGGGGACGAC